AGGAGATAATGCACATTACCTCTTTTACAATGGCAGCAATTAGCCTGCGAGCCAGCACTATGATGGTGAACACCAACATATTATAATCAATGAGGTGGAAGTTCTGCAGAGACAAAAGAAATTCATTTTGTGAAAAAATAAAGATTGGATGCTTCTGTGGAGTTAAATTTAAGACTTATGACGTGACTCACCAGAGAGGTGTGTGAAGGTGGGTGCGAGGGGGGGTACCACCACACTGTTTTGTAGATGTTGACGTAATGTACAAACAGAGCTGTAAGATGGCACACAAACAGGTGGAGCTCAAACAGGACGTTCCGGTCCACAGAGAGTTCCGGAATCTTACAGTGCTTCAGTGGCACCACCGTCTGAGTGGCCAACGGAGGGCTGGACATTCCCGTCCCGGATCCATTCCTGGTGACCGCACAGATTTGAAAACAGCATGTTAATTTAAACATCGGAAGAGGATGCAACAGAACATTAGTTTGTTATGTGTAACATTATGCTCAAATGTGCCCCCACCTGGTTCGTGACCTCACACCTGTCACGGGTGAGCTTGTGGAGTGGTTACCGTTGCCAACGGAACCCGTCTCACTGCTCAGCGGAGAACGACAATATGTCGTTCTATTCGCTCCTCTTCTTCCTCCGGCCATTCCAGATCCACTCTTGCCCCTTCTCTCAATTTTTTTTGCACTTCTAGTTGGTTACGCTATAGATACCTGCAGGAAAACAAATAAGTTCTAAACACACTATAAGACTGTGTCGTGACAAAAAAAGAGGTCTTATGTATACTAAATCACTGTTTATGGAGGTTTTGTATTAAATACGCTACGCTAAAATGTAATGTTTTTGATATAAAGACAGTAATTTTTTTGCAAAATATGATTACAATTTAAAATGTTTTCTATTATATTTCCTATTTTAAAATGTAATTTATTCCTGTGATGGTAAAGCTGAATTTTCATCAGCCATTACTCCTGTCTTCAGTGTCACATGATCCTTTACAAATTATTCTAATTTGCTGCTCCATGAAACATGTCTTATTATTATAAATAAGATAATATATTATAATATAATATATATATTTTTTTTTTCAAAAGAACAGCATTTATTTGAAATATAAATCTTTTGTAGCATTGTAAACGTCTTTACTGTCATGTTTGATTCATTTAATGCACCCCTATATATATATATATATATATATATATATATCTAAAACACTTTTTAATGCTAATGTACCATGTATTGTTCATGACTATACCATAGGCTTATACAAGGATGTTTATTACCAGATATTTTCAGATGCTAATCTCATCATTGTTTTATTATACAAGAATTCATTGGCAAAGTGCATCTTCTAAATTTGGTTTTTGTGTGTCAATTCCTCTTTACAAGTAACTTAATGCTTATTACAGATACATTCTTCTACATCTTTGCTTACTGTTAATCATCACAGGTTGTTCAGAAGCTCAGAATGTTTGCAATAGCTACTACCATACTTATCTTGCTATTTCTGCAGTATTCAGGATGAATGCCTCCTGTGGACAGTATGCAAATTGTCTTAGTGGATGGAATATGTGGACAACCAACTACATTTGACAAATTAAAAATGCAAAAAGCATTTTTACTTGGACATGATGTATTAAACGCATATCTAATGAGATTATATGATAATAGGTTTTTTAGTAATCCTGTCCAAACAGATCCAGAGCACTGGGCACTGAATGAATTCATATACCACAATATTATTTTAAGACACTGTCAAGACACCATACCATGTTATTACAAGTAAAATCACGTTTAGTTTATTGTCATTTAGCAATATGGTGACACAAAAAGTAGCTTTACCAGGTCTGCAGGACAAATTATAGCCAGATTGGAAAAAATGTTGCAGATTCTTTTGGTGTAGACCCAGTATCCCAATATCACATTTGTGATGTCTGGACAGGTTTTAAAGAAAATTTGTTTGTTTTTAGATCCTTGCCAGTTCTAACATGATATTAATGTGAGTTACCAATACCACTGGTCTTGCACTGAATGAATTAACTAATTGTATGTTTGTAAACTCTTCCTCAAATGCCTCATATTGTAACTTTAGGCTACTTTCACTTGTGCCTTGGGCCTACGGTTGGTAACTTTCTTTTTAAGATGCATCGTAAGCCTTTTATGGCAGCAGTTATCAAACCAGTGAGAAGAACGTACTGTCACAAATCTGTGAAGGCTCAGATACCTTTTACTAAGCATGAAGTTTATATTTAACATGAAGATGCCTGAAATGTCTTTTTACACTTACTGAATCAAACCGGTTTGCATTGAGTCTGACTAAATTATGTTTTGTCATGTTGGGGCTCACTGCATCAGCAGATTTATCCCCAATGCATCATCCCCATGCATCACCACTGGACTCATTCACAGGACATTCATGTGCATGCAGCACTACTGCCTTGCCAATTCACTTGCCACAAACGGGTCTCACTATAGCAAGCCAAAATAATACATTTATGTTATGGTTAGTTTTTAAAGAAATTTTATCCTGCTTAAAACGAGGAATAATCTTTCCTGTTCGCTCTGGTGTTTTGCAGCCCTGCCTTTATTGATAGACAACTTTTGCGGAAGCGTTGCTGTGAAACATGTAGGTTGAAAGATGTTGTTTTTTGATTCTGAAACCAAATTGCCTTAAAATGCAACAAACATTTCTCGGGTCTGGTTGAATCTTAACGCCCATAGCAATAAATGCACGCTTGAATGTAAAACTGCGGCCTAGCACATAATCTAATTTCAAGAAATAGCAAAAAATCTCTTACCACTTTTAACGGCGGAGTTTAGTCCGGATAAGGCGACTGTGAGATTTAGGTTGAAACGCACTCAATACTTAAATACAGAATTAATTACTTTGGGATCGTAAAGGGTTTGTTTAATTTCTGACAGTAAACGCGGAGGACTCATTCTGTTGATGTTGTACCGCAGACGCACGCAAGCGCTTGGGGGAGGAGGCAAGCGTGCGTGCTTGCGTGTCCAGTGCGTGTGTACGTGTGTGTGTGTGTGTGTGAGATCAAAGCACACATCATGTTACACATTACACAGAACCGGTTTGGAAAGGTTAATGCATTCAGTGTATTACGCACATTCATTGAACATATTTTATTGCATAAAACAAAATAGCACGGATTCAAGCCATAACAATAGGCTAACATTTTTATTCAGTTTTGCTATTCCACACAATGTATATTATTAATGCTGTCTTATTTAATACTGTCATTAATTTATTAAATCAGTATTCTGTTATCATTTATATGCAAAACAATAAACAAATCTCCCTCCACAAAAGATACTCACGTGCCAGTTTCTTGTATTTAAATATATTTTAAATATTCTTATAATACTTGTAGCTAAATTCCATACACATACACCACTGTTTGGGGTCAGTAAGATTTATAAAAAAAATGTTTTTTTAATATTTTTATTCAGCAAGGGCATATTTAATTGATCAAAACTGATGGTAAAGTCACTTTTTTATATCATCCCACAACATTTACAAAAACTGTTTAAAAAAAAATGCAGTTCTTTTCAAACATTTCTATTCATCAAAATTCCTGTAAAAAATATTAATCTGTTTTCAACTTTAATAATTATAAGAAACATTTCTTGAGCACCAAATCAGCCTATTAGAATGATTTCTAAAGGATCATGACTGGAGCAATGGCTTTTGATAAGTCAGCTTTGCCATCACAGGAATAAATTACATTTTAGAAGAGAAAACAGTTATTCACAATTACAATTACTATTTTTATTGTATTTTTGATCAGATAAATTCAGCCTTGGTGAGCATAAGAGACTTTAAAGCTATCGAGACTTTAAATATTTGGAAGTTTTTTCCTAAATATTCTTGAACAAAATATTAAGTATGTGAATTAATGTTTTTTTTTTCCCCATGTGTCTTCTTATTGTGTTTTTGCATCCCTGTGGCGTTTTTCCCCTTTCTCTTGGTTGTTATTTATAATGCTGCTGTTAATTTTTCATTTATATATAAATTAATTCCTAAATATATATAAAACGCTCTTCACCTGTACACTGGTGTCTGCCCAAGAGGGCGGGTGTTGTTTGTCTGAAGGATCGCTCGGCTGCCCATTCAGAACGCAGGGTGCGCACCGGAAGATCGCTGCAGCAGCAGCAGCAGCAGCAGCACACGGGACCAAAATGGCGTAGCGCGCAGTCCGCTGCTGCAGCAGCGCAGCGGGGCCAGGCTCACCGAACATCCCAGAGCCTGGCCCGTCGTACTCCAACCGACGAGTATGATGGAGGTGGCTTTTAGTTTCAGTTCACTCGCTTCGAAACCTGCACGAGATCAGCGGAGACGGTAAGTGCACTAAGAGTGTTGACATGTACTACAGGAGCATGGCTTTGTCTAATCTTTGCGTAGCGGTTTCGCATTCCAGCACTTGCGTCACTAGTCTGTGCAGGAGTAGAGATGTACATCATTTGGTTGTGTATTAATATTCATTTTCACTGTTCTTTCAAGCACTTTGTCCTTTCCTTCCATATGTGCTCTAGAACTAATAACTACATTGTTAAATGGGAATGCAGATCTTAATTAACCTGCTTTGTCTTATCAAAACAGTGCCCTTCATATGTCAAATCAAGAAGAGAAAGGAACAGTCCTGAAAGGAACTCATGACCAGGTAGGTCAGTTTGTGCAGCAGAAATAACACAAGATACTTCCTTGTAGGGCTGGGTATTGACATTGATTTCATGAATTGCTTTGATTCAGATTCACAAGCTCTTGATTCGATTCTGATTTCATTTGGATACATGTCTTTTACAACTAATGTTGTAAACTGTACAAGGAACCCTGTCATTTGGTTCATTGAGGTTAAATGAACAAGTCCAAACGTTTTTATTCAATTGCTGTTTATTTTTAGCTATAATAACCAACACTTTAATAAAACATTGTATACAAACAAATGTAGTACATGCAAGTTGTGCTCTTTCTTTCCATGTTTAATATTAAAGATAGTCAAAATAGTATTTATTGTTTGAATTTTGTGATAAAATTGTCAGAATTTGAAAGCGGAGACCGTTTTAGACCAGTAACAGGGCTTATTGTGATTATTGGATGGCAGGTGTGCTACAAATAATGTTTAGTAAAGTTTTGTTCACGCATCAACATAAAACAGCATAGACTAAAAGATTGATCTTGGGATTTAAAAACTGATATTGGTTCATTAAAATAAAGATTAATTAAAATTAGTGCTGTCAATCATTTAAAAAAATTAGCTAATTAATCACATTTTTTTCTAAAATTAATCATGATTAATCCCACCTGACATTAAAGTTTTTAAATATACTTTTATATCACAATAATTTCACAATCTTCAAAATAAGAAACAACATAAAGACAGTATATATTTAATATTTGTTTAATTGCATCTTTTTTATGACTAAAGGCAAGTTTCACTTATACCAATACTACTGATCTCTACTGTCTCTATGAAATAGTTTTTTTTCTTTAATATTTAACCATTGACTATAGCCATTCAACATTACAGTAAAATTAAGAGCTATCAGTTTTAACATTTATTAGACTTTAAAAAATAACTTCTAATTTAAGTGAACTTAAAACAATCTTCACATAATGTCATATTTAGCTACCTGTGCCCTTCAGCAAGTAAGAAATATAGAGAAATTGAATAAAGTTATCAAACACTAAATTTTTTATTAAATATAGTTGAATCCTCAAAGCTACAAAAGTTATTCATTTCCTCTTTTTTTTTTCTTTTGTTTTTTGATTAACAGACATCACAGCAGCTGGGTTATTAGGTTATTTTGGCTGCTTTAAGGGCTGCTGCTGAACATGACACGGATCTGACACGCATCGTATTTTCTCACAACTCATTACTACCTTTTCTAAACCCACTTCAGGGCTTAAAGGGATAGTTCACCTTCAGTTGCTGGTCCCCATAGTGCATAGTGTTTTTTTTTTTCATACTATGGAAGTCAGTGGGGACTAGCAACTGAAGGTGAACTATCCCTTGAAGTCTCTACTAATGAGCTGGGGGGTATTCCAAAAAGCAGGTTATGTGACATACCCGGGTATGTTTAAGGGTAAGCAAGCGGATAAACTCGGCTTCCGGTTCCAAAACTGAAGGTAACTTTCAGGGTAAGTAAGTAGCCATAGCAACTTTTTCTCTGAACATAAAATGCTCTGCAGCAGGTTATGTTTCAGGGTTAGTTTACTTCAGAGTTATCAGCGCATGCATGACCTATTGATGAGACTCCAGTGGGCATGGCAGATTGTGCACAATATTAAATATTATTACAATATAGTTATATAAGTCACTTTCACTTTAATATATATATA